GTACCAAACCAATTCTTTGCTATTTCTTCCCCTGAGGGTTGGATTCTAATTTCCCTTGCCTTGAATCTGAGCTGGCCTGAGTGACTTGTTTGACCAGTAGAATGTAGTAAAAGTGACATCCTAAGAACTTTGGAACTAGTTCATAAGAAGCCTGGGAGTTGCCAGATGGGGCCACTTGCAGCACTGTCTCTGAGCTCCATATAGGAAGTCTGAGTCCTCTTAGATCAGTATATTGGAGAGGCTAGAATGCAGTCATGTGAATGATGCCATCTTGGATCCTCCACACCAGCCATAGTCGATGTGGAATGGGCCAGAAGGAATACTCAGCCAAAGATTGATCAAATTACTAATCCATAATATGGTGAGATATAATAAGATGCCATTTGTTTTTAGCTACTTAGTTTTTGAGTATTTTGCTAGACAACTATAGATAACCAGAATAACATCTAATATTTTAAGATGGACATTGAGATCTAGTGTTAGTAGAATGAAGTTTGCAGGGGGAAAGGATGAGAAAGAAAACAAGAGATACATTTTTGGGTGTGCACAGTTTGTGAGGTAATATGATTTCATGGTGAAAATGACGAAAAGGTGTGGTAAAATTGAGGAATTGATTTTTTTATTTGAGGTTTGAAAAATGGCTACAGGAAATTGTTATGGGGGGAAGAGAGAGTGAGCGAGAGAGAGAGAGAGAGAGAGAGAGAGAGAGAGAGAGAAAGATGTATAATTATTTTTGCCTTTATGAATGTGCATTCCTGACATCTCTGAGGACTAAGATTGTCCTGCAGGGAGTATGATTAAAGTTACAAAGAGGAAAACAAAATAAGTAAGTCAGCTCTTGATCCTGCTGCTATATTTACCCACAAGAAAGGAGGCAGCTCTCAGGTGGGCTTTTGTCTAAGTAATGTCCTGAAATCCAAGTGTAAAAGAACAATATGAAATCTCAATTCTCCCAAACGGTTTGGGGCAGTTCAGCCCTTGAGCCCCTGGGGGGTTTGGTTCCCAAGGAGACTAATCCCACTTGCTTAGCATTAGGTATCACTGGGGCAAAAGAGCTCTGGTTTGGAGTTGTGCAGAGAGGCCCTCGTGCAGGCTGAAGCTGGGTCCCTCCGCCCCATAGGAAGTGAAATGTATTGATGTCAAAGCCATTCAAGTGAGTGTGCTCACTCAGGGTGTCGGAGGAGGGGCTAATGGGCCTGGCAGGAGCTGGCCACGGACTGCTGAAACTGATTTCATCCCAGATAAAGCTCTTCCCCAAAGGAAAGTAGATGGAGGGGGAAAGCTGAGACCATGAGGTGGGGTCTTACATGTACATTTTAGTTGGATAATGGAAACTCTAAGGATTTATTTTGACCCCAGGTATTAGTTATTTCAAGTAGAAGTTGTTCTTTGTTGCCTTATTTTCTATAGTTTTCCATAAACACCTTTACTTTCATATGACCATGCCCCTGCCCAGGCTGTTCCCACAGATACTGCTTGTTTGCTCAGTACACTCAAATGCATCCTTTAAGTCTCAGCTCAAATGCTACCTGCCTATGCAGGCTTCCTTGACTTTTCTGAGCAGACGTGATACCTTTGATACCCTCAACTATTGCACCTTTAATTTACTTCCATTAAGATACATATTGCATTATATTACAATGACTTGTTTGCATGTCTGCCTTTCCATCAGAAGAGGTAGAGATTATGGCTTATCTCTGTGTTCCCCAGTCCTGGCACCAATATTGTTGGTGTCAGTAATATCTGAATGAATAAATGACTAGGTGGATATTTTTTTAACCATTTTTTTTTTTTTAGGGGCAGAAAGGAAAAAAAAAAACAAGATGAAATCAGAGGGAGACAAACTATAAGAGACTCTTAATTACAGGAAGCAAACTGAGGGTTTCTGGAGGGAAGGAGTTTAGGGGGATGAAGTAACTAGGGGATGGACATTAAGGAGGGCACGTGATGTAATGAGCACTGGGAGTTATAGAAGATTGATGAATCACTGAACTCTATCTCTGAAACTCATAATACACTATATGTTAATTAACTGAATTTAAATTTTTAAAAATGAGAAAAAGAGGACCCATTTTGTGAGTCAGGCTGTAGAACTTCTAAGCCCTGGATATCTTATATGTGCATATAGAGCTTTATGGTTGACAAAGAACTTCATAGCCTTCTCAAATAGGTTCACACTTTATTCCCATTTTATAGAGGGGAACATTGGACTTTTCTGTAATTAGTTGGACAATAAAAGGCAGGGTTGGACTCTTCACCTCAGGCTCTAATTTCAGCTCTCCCTCTGCTACATCACACTGCTTTTTTCTAAGTTTCTACAGCCTGCAAGTGTAGCTGCTCTCTTGCATTTGAAAATACTTTGTTGGGGGGAAAAGCAGATGATGCTGATTTTAGAGTGATGTGTTGGCAAGAAACCGGTGAGGCCTAAGGAATCAAGAACATGGGCATTTGTTGAGCTGCTCTTTCATGCCAGGAACACTTATACGCACCAATTCACAAAATCCTTGAGGAGCTGATCTTTATCACACAGAGGAGAAAAGTAAGACTCAGAGGTATTATTATTTGCCTGTCATGTCATGTAATTCTCACAAAGACTCTGAGAACAGTTATAACCATTCCCATTTTTCAGATAATGAAACCGAGCCTTGGGAAGATGAACTGAACTTGTCCAAGAACAGTTACCCACCAAGTGTCAGGCCAGAATTTGAACCTGGCCTCATCAAACTCTGAATCAACTCGGAGTATAACACTCCCCTGATCTGGAAATGAAGAGACTTATACATATGACACCATTCACATTCCACTTATTTTGACTATGATTTATGTTAGGGCTTAGTAAACTCTCTGTAGATTGAGAGAGACTTTCAGACTAAAGACATCAATTAAATGTAAAGTTCTATGCAATTTGTGTCTGGGAATTTGTAAGACTGGCTCAGTTAAAAGAAGTGAAAAAAAAAAGAGTGCTCCTAGCTGTCAGACCTGGAGGCCTATGGAATGGTCCTGTCAAAAAGGGAACAGTAAGTGCTGATATCCACACCTGACAGGTGAGAAACACAACTCAGTAACAGGCTTACACAATTTCCTTAGTGCAAATGTCACCAAGAGTAAAACAGACAGTCCAATGATCGAGGACAAAATCCTGTATGTAACTCTAATGAAAGGTACATTATTACTGAGCCACCTTAATTGAAAAAAAAAAAGTTTGAGTCAGCTATATTGGTTGGGAAGTGTCTATTTTATCTCCTAAATGGAGAAATCATTTTGCTACATCCTGAAAAATGAGGCTTAAAGAAAAGAGTTTTAGAAGAGATGGTCTGCATCTCCCTGAGGCAGACTCTGCATCTAAACTATCATAACTTATTTATTTGTTTATTTTTAAGGATTTATTTATTTTTTTTTGGGGGGGGAGGAGAGGCAGAGGAAGAATGAGAGGCAATCTCAAGCAGACTCCCTGCTGAGCAAGGAGCTCCGTGTCACTACCCTGAGATCATGACCTGAGCTGAAATCAAGAGTCAGTCGCTACTGAGCCACCTGGGCGCCCCTGTCATAACGTATTTAGAGAACACTTTATCACACACCTTATATGTCTTTTTTATCACAGTGTCTTCATATATGTGATCTCACTGAATCCTCATGAACACCCTGTGCCAGAAAAGACACGTAAGGAAATACAGTCACCTTTTTGTGTTTTAGAGACGTAAGGGCAAATACTCATCACAAGCTGTGCAAGAGTCAACAGATATGGATTTTTCATAGGATGTTTCCTTTAGATAACAGGTGCCCCGTGAGGTGGGTGACTTTACCTGCATTTAATGTGAGTTAATTAAGGCAGAGAGAGGTTGGCAGGTTTGGCCAAAGCCATGTACTCATCAGAATATGGATTTTAACCCAAATCACGGAACTACTGAGTGGTGGAACTAAGACCTAATGGGGAACAGACCAGTCTTTTCTGAACCATTTTCTGTGGTCTACCATATTGTTCATTTTCTCTATCCCAGGAGGGTTGCCCAGGTGAGATTGGATCCAACTGAACTTCAGAGCGATCCTTAAAATGCAACAAGGACTCCAGAAGGACAACTTAAGTGGCAGGACAAGTAGGGGAGAGGTTCCCATCCATATTTTGTCTTAAGATGCACCAGGGTTGTCTCTCAAGCACCCGCTGGCTTAGCGTAATGACTCTATTCTCCTTTGCCTCCTGCCGTCCACCTGCAATACTGAAAGATGGGCCAAGTGCTTGCCTCACTTTACTGTAAGTAATTGTTACTTCTAACAGTAGAAAGGAGAGTATAATAGAAATAGGCTAGAAACCAGAGCACCGGTCTTGAGAGTCCTATGGAGACTCCAGTTAGTCTTAGGACCAGGTCTATAGCTTGAATAGACACTAGTTTCCTTCTCTCACCATACAGATGAGGAAGAAGAGGAGGCCAAGAGAAAGCACAAGTTCTGGGTTTGGGGTGGAACTGGACTGGATGTGGCTTAGGCCGACTCACGGAACCTCTCTGAGGCTGCTTCTTCAGGTGTTAGGTGGTGATAATAATACGCACTTAGTGTGAATACGGGATATCGGTCAAAAATTAAGTGTGACCAGGTAGGGACAGCGCCTGGCACACGCAGGCCCCGGTAGCTGGTAGCTACTACGGTCCAGAGCAGGGGGCCGAAACCCTCCCCTCTGGACAAGGGCGTGGTGGTACAGGGGCCGGAGTTTGAGGCCGGGCCGCCCTAACCTCGCCTCCTGCCGCTGCAAGCTGAGCCAAGAGAACGCCCCAGGGCGGAGGGAAACGCAGGGGTTAAAGTGAGGAGCTGGAGAAAACCCCGAAAGCTGGAAAAACGACAGCCCCCCCCGCCCCCCCGCCGCGGCCCGCCTCCAATCGGCCCGGCCCCGCGAGGCAGGCCCCGCCCCCGCCGCCGGGGCTGCAGCCTCGCTCGCCCTCCGCCCGCCCCTCGCTTACAAGACCTAATGAGCTCCCCCGCGAGGCCGAGCCGCGAGCCGGGCCCGAGCGAGGAGGCTGCGCCGCGCGCGCCGCGCCGGGGCGGGAGCCGGGCCTGGGTCGCGGGCCGGAGCCGGCCGGGGGCGCCCGGGAGCCGCGGCGATGGCGGTGCAGGCGGCGCTCCTCAGCACGCACCCCTTCGTCCCCTTCGGCTTCGGCGGCTCCCCGGACGCGCTGGGGGGCGCCTTCGGAGCCCTGGACAAGGGCTGCTGTTTCGAGGAGGATGAGCCCGGGCCCCCGGCGGGCGCGCTGCTGGCGGGCGCCGAGGGCGGGGACGTGCGCGAGGCCACCCGCGACCTGCTCAGCTTCATCGACTCGGCGTCCAGCAACATCAAGCTGGCGCTGGACAAGCCCGGCAAGTCCAAGCGGAAGGTGAACCACCGCAAGTACCTGCAGAAGCAGATCAAGCGCTGCAGCGGCCTCATGGGCGCCGCGCCCCCCGGGCCGCCGTCCCCGGGCGCAGCCGACGCGCCGGCCAAGCGGCCGCTCGGCGCCGCGGGCGCGCAGACCGTCGCGGGGCCGCCCCCCGGCAAGGCCGCCCCCCGGCGGGAGGCGTCGCAGGCCGCGGCCGCCGCCGCCAGCCTGCAGAGCCGGAGCCTGGCCGCGCTCTTCGACTCGCTGCGCCACGTCCCTGCGGGCGACGAGCGGCCCGGGGCCTCGGGGGCGGCGCCCGCGGCGGCGCTGGGCGCGGCGGGCGCCGGCGGCTCGGGAGGGGACGCGGCCGGCCCCGCGGGCGGGACGGCGGGCCCCGGCGCCAGGAAGGTCCCGCTGCGGGCCCGCAACCTGCCGCCGTCCTTCTTCACGGAGCCGTCCCGGGCGGGCGGCGGCCGCGGCCCGTCGGGGCCCGGCGTGAGCTTGGGCGACCTGGAGAAGGGCGCGGACGCCGTGGAGCTCCTGGAGCTGCTGGCGCCCGACTACGGCGCCGGGGCCGGGCCCGGGGTCGGGGCCGGGGCCGGGGCCGGGGCCGAGGCGGGCGTGCTGCTCGCCGCCGAGCCGCTCGAGGTGTTCCCCGCGGGCGCCGCCGTGCTGCGGGGCCCCCCGGAGCTGGAGCCCGGGCTGTTCGAGCCGCCCGCCGCGGCGGTGGGGGGCCTCCTGTACCCCGAGCCCTGGAGCGCCCCCGGCGGCCCGCCCGCCAAGAGGCCGCCCCTGGCCGCCCCCCGCGGCGGCGTGCCCTCGAACGAGCCCTTGCGCCCCCCGTACCCCGCCGCCGCGGACTGCCCGGGCGGGGAGGGCGCGCCCGGCCTGCTGGCGTCCTTCGCCCCCTTCTTCTCGGACTGCGCGCTCCCCCCGCCGCCGCCGCCGCCGCCGCCGCCGCCGCCGCCTCAGGTGTCCTACGAGTACGGCGCGGGCTACGGCCGCTCGGCTTACTCGGGCCTCTGGAGACCGGACGCGGCGTGGGAAGGGGCGCCCGGGGAGGAGGGGGCGCCGCGGGACTGAGGGGGTGGCGCGCTCCCGGCCCCGCGCCTCTCCCCGGCGTCTGCACGGCGGTAGCGCGCCCGCCGAGAGGAAGCGGGATCTAAAGATGTTCACTTCATGAGAGAAACTTGAGCGGAAGAGACGAAGAGGGGCCGGGGCTGTTCTCATCACAGCCTCAAGCGTCTGAAGCAAAGCAAAAAAGCCGTCGGTAGGTTCTCACCGGACCGGACAACCAGGAAACCAAGCCGGGCGTCGGGCGTCGGGCGTCGGGCGTCGGGCGTGGGGGGCGGGGCGGGGCGGGGGCGCGGGGGGCGGGGCGCGGGCGGCAGGGGGCGGGGCGCGGGCCTGGCTTCCGTGGCCTCCCGACCCTCCTCCGACCTCGCTGCGGCCGCGCCGCGGGGTGCCGTGGGCTCGCCCCTTCCGAACGGAGCGCGGGCCCCTCCCTCTCCTTCCCCCTCGAGTGCAAATGAATTAAAGGCTGTACTGAAAAGCACGGAGCCAAGACACGTTATTGACTCGGGTGTGTTCTCGGGGCACGGTTTTGCCTTGCTAGCTGGGGGCGTTCTTGAGGGCAGGAGGCCACTGGGCCGCTGCTGACCCCCGGGGCTGCTCCTTGTGTGCGGGACCTTCTCTGGCCCTCGGAAGTGTTTGCTGCTCCTTTCCTCTTCCGTCTCAGAATCCTTCTTCCATCTCTTCGCGCTTTTACCGGTGCTGTTGCTTACTTTCCTCCTCTTTCTCTGGTCTCCTGTTGGTCCCTCTTGATTTTTTTTCTTTTTTCTTCTGTCAGCTTTTCTTGATGTAGGAGGCTTACATTTGGCAACCTGCAAAGAGGCGTCCGTTTCTCTCCTCTCCCCATTCTTCAACCACTTTGCTAAGGTGGCAGGGGGCAAGCCATAACCTCCTTGCATCTAAGTTTCCTTATCTGAGAGGAAGCGAAGAATATTCCTTATCACTTCTTCATAGCTTGTTGGGTAGCTCGGAGGGGAAATGCATGAAACACCGCTTGGGGCTGCTTGATTGATTCTGCAGGTGTACATCTTGTACAGACACGTATCAATACTTTATACATATGGGAGCCCTTAGGATCTTTTTTGGGCCCAGGCCTGGGGATTGCTCCTTCCCTTACAAGCCGTACACGGCTATCTGCCCTTTCTCCTCCTGTTTCGCTCCCTCCCCTCCCCTCCTCCCTTGGTTGGTTTCTGCTTCCCTGTGCGTGCTCACTCCCTGTACTCACACTCTTCCCATAGAGGGGAATGGTGAAGGTATGAGTTTCCTAAAGAGTCTCTATTCTCTAAATAGCAGGTTTGATGAATAGAATCTGAAGGAGCCCTGGAGAGTCCTGATCTGTTATCTGAGAGGCATTTGGGGGAAAAGCCAGATAAATGTTTGAAGCCGTCATGATGTGGCAGAGGACACGTGCCACCATCAGCATGGTTGAGGGGCAGAGAGGGAAAGACCGGGTGGGGAGTGGGTAGCAGGAAAGAAAAGAGGGAGCCCTTTAGTTCTGCAGACCTGCCATGAAAATGCACGAAGACCAACATTCAGGAAGTGTACGGAGATGTCATTTACGGATTAATGACATTGCAAGGAGAGCTGCCTCCCTTCCAGGCAGATTCCAAGAGTATCTACACGTGAGAAAGGAGAAACCCCAGTGTTACTCCAAAAGATGTTAAAATCCAGATTAATGTTTGTACAGATCAAAAGTGCTCTGATATTTTCAGAAAGGAATTTGTCAAGAAACAAATGGATACCAACCCATGGCAGACCACTTTAAGTGCTACTACGGAGTCTCTTTATTCTGAATAAAACCTTTCTTAAGATAGCACCACGGGAATGAGTCTTGTTAGCGACAGAAGAACTTTTTCCAACTCCAGAAACTAGATGTCTATCGGATTTCTTTCAAAGTGATAAAAAGTGATTCATTCCATTGTGTTAGAATAGTATGCAATTGTCATTTAATTTCTCTGAACTACTTTATGACGAGTATAATCCAGGGTAGAATTTCGTAGGAGGGAAGCATTAACCCTGTGACAACTGCAATGTTTCTTTCTCAATTTCTTCTTTCTTTTTTACCCAGTTCAGGGAAACAGGCTCTCTCTCTCTCTCTCTCTCTCCCAGTATTTTGCCATCCCTTTGATTAATAATGATAATACCAGCACTGTGTGTTTCCACGTGCGGGCACTGAACTTCTTAACAGTGCTGTGAGGTAGGTGCTATTATCCTCACTTGAAAAGAGAGGCTCAGACAGGTTAAGTAACTCATTGAAAGCAAGTGAGGGTCCAAGATCCAGATCTACCGAGTATCCTAACAGCAAGACCTGCCTGCTTCTTGCGAGGCCCTGCTGTGCTTTGCTAGTGTGTGTGGTTCCCTGTCCCCTGCATTATGCCACCAGCAGGGTTTCTCATCCTCACCACTATTGACATTTTGCACAAGGTAACCCATTGCTATGCAGGCTGTCCTGTGCATAGTAGAATGTTTAGCAGTATCCGTGGCCTCTACCCATTAGGTAACGATAACCCTCTCCTAATAGTGACAAGGACATCTCAGGGGTCCCCTGAGGAGCAAGATGACTGCCAGTTGAGAACCACTATGCTAGACATATGCATAAATGGTGTCTATGGGGCGCTATGGGGTGCCTGGCACTTTCACAGGCACGGTGTGTTGTTTAATTTTTTTTTTATTTCTCTTATCTTTATTTTTTTTTAGAAATTTAGTTTTTATTGGTGTTCAATTTGCCAGCATATAGAACAACACCCAGTGCTCATCCCGTCAAGTGCCCCCCTCAGTGCCCATCACCGTCACCCCTCACCCCCCACCCACCTCCCCTTCCACCACCCCTAGTTCGTTTCCCAGAGTTAGGAGTCTCTCATGTTCTGTCTCCCTTTCTGCTATTTCCCACTCATTTTTTCTCCTTTCCCCTTGTTGTTATCCTCATTACACGTGAAAAGAAGGCTGAGGGAGGGGTTAGATCAATCAACTTAGCTACATCTTATCTGTGCTAATTTACCAGCCAAGGATCAGTTGCTTAGCTGTAATGGAGAATATGTGCTTGGTCCCTAGGTAGCCTCCAAATTGCCCCGTGTCTGATTCCTCTTCTCCTCACATTGCCTTCCAGTCCGAGCGCATGTGGGTCTGACCATGACCACGCCACCTGCTGTAGTACAGTAAGTAGCAGCCATTAATAATAGTCCTCCCAAGGGCTGAATGTATTGTTGCTTCCTCTCCTATGTCATTTTCTACTGCAGCCTGTTAGAAAGTATTTTTGTCTCTTGTTTAGCCACATAGGTCCTTGTAGAGTTTTTTTTTTTTTTTCAGGTTCAATGGTAGATATTTTTCAAGATCAGAAATATAATGTGCTTGTAAGTGTATGACTTTGGATAGGCTAAGGATCCTAACCTAGTTGGTAATAATAATTACACTGCATGCTGCATATTCATGATTCCCCACCTCAGCCTTGGTGCCTGGAATGTGTTTGAGTGTCTTCCTGCATCTTTAAAGTGGCTGTCCTAAGCCTTGGGTCATCTCCTCTCAATCCTCTGTCCTACCCTCTCATCACTCCCACATCCTGATAAGATGGAGAGTGTCTATTGTAATCTCTCTCTATTTCCCATCCCCTCTTTCATACAGCAGTTCTCTCCAGCAGCCAGGACCTTCTCCTACCTTCGTGGCTCAGCATCCCGCCCCTCCTGCTTCATGAGAACAAGATACTGCTCCGTCAATCATCTTTCATCATCTATATCTTCAGCCTCACCCTCACTTGTTCCTCTCATCCTAGAAAGAAACCTTGAGTATGGTTTAAAAATACAAAAGAGGGAGAATAAAGAATTGGAAAACTCTTCTCTAGATACAACTCTATCTTCTCTTTTGAGTTGAGTTCTTCAGGAAGAGAATTGACACTTTTTGCTTCCACCCATACCTGCTCTTTGAACTGTGGCTATTTGGGGGCAGCCCAGGTGGCTCAGCAGTTTAGCGCCTGCCTTTGGCCCAGGGCATGATCCTGGAGTCCCCCGATCAAGTCCCATGTCGGGCTCCCTGTATGGAGCCTGCTTCTCCCTCTGCCTGTGTCTCTGCCTCTCTCTCTCTGTCTGTCTCTGTCTCTCATGAATAAATAAATAAAATTTTTTTAAAAAAGCTGTGGCTATTTGGGGTCCTAACCCTGTCCCACCCCCTCAGTTTGCATGAGGGTTTCAGCCCTGAAAGTTCCAAGAAGCCCTTCAGTCCTGGGCCAACTGGTACAGATGGCCACTCTCCTTCTGCCTACTGTTTTCCCCAAAATTGCCCTCACTGAAGCCCCAGTCACCAACCATGGGGTCTTCAGCCTACAGCTTTTTTTGACCTTTGTGCCGCATCTGAACAACTGGGCTGCTCCACCTTCCTAAGGCTCTCCTCTTTGGGTTTGTGGAATCTCGTTTTCTTTTGGTTTTCTCCTAACTTTCTGGCCATGTCCACTTCTTGCTGGAACTCTCACACACTGGTGGGCTGCTGGCTCCTCTCAGTTCTGCCCTCTGCTTTTTATACTCCACACATTCTTTCCCAGGGATGGTGGCTCTTCCCAAGGCTTCAGCTAACACTGATGCAATGAAGACCCCTAAATCTAGGCCTGCTTGGCTCCTTTCCCCAATACTAGACCCATTTCCTCCTCTATTTCCTAGGCAGCTTCTCTTGGAGGGGTGGGCTCATAAGTTCTTCAAACTTTATGTCCAAAATTTAATGCATACCCAACAGGAATAGCCCACAGTCACCCTGGCCACACTCTCCTTGTGGCTTTCATCCTGACCAAACCATTACCGAGGCCTATTCCATACTAGCTTCTAAGTCAGTATGTCTCAAATATATTTATTCGTGGCCTTCAGAAAAACCTAATTTTATGTTATGTTTCAGTATATCTGTATCCCTATTCATATAAGTTTGTAGCCATACAGACATACTCACATTTAATAATTTAGATATTAGATTATTCAATGATCAATTTCAATATATATCTGATTTTTTTAACAAGATCTAGATTCTTATAGGAGCTATGTGAAACACTGATATTTTCTTTTCTATTTAATAAAATCTGGCTATTATCCACTATATGGCTTTTATGACTGACTGATGAGTTGGGCCTCCTGTTTGAAAGATGCTGTTCTAAGCAACTCTTTTGTCTCTCCTCGGCACTCTTTTGCCAATGTTACCTCCTTAGTTTGGGCCTTCATCACCCCTCACCAAACCTAGTGTAAGGATCTCCTAATGACTTTCTTATATATGAAGTCACAATCCATCTTATCATCATTCCCTGAGCT